GCCTCCTCCTCCTCCTCCTCCTCCTCCTCCTCCTCCTCCTCCTCCTCCCCTTCTTCTTTGCGTACGCGCGCCCGTCGCTCAGCCGTTTCCTCGCTTTTGCGCACGAGGTTCTCGTCGATTCGGAGCGCACGGCACCCGTGCGGGGCCTTCTTTTGACCGAGGCGTGTCACGGCCCCGATTCGGCGGCGTGTACGCGTGGGGGGAGTTTCGGGCGGTTGGGGCTGTTTGGGGCCTTGTCGTCGGTTCTCGGCGGTTTTCCAGCCTCGGGATGCGCTCCAGCACCTGCGCCTCGCCGAGAGCGTTTCGGGGGTGCCTGGATCGCCCCAGACGGCCGCAGGAGATCCGAGGTGTGACAGAAAAACCACCAGGCGTCCGAGAGGGGGGGCAGGCCTTCTCGAAAGGTTCGGAGGGACTCGGGCTCTCCGAGAAGCTTTCCATGTATACCTTCTCCGACGATAGACAGCTTCTCAGAAGGCCGGAGGGCTTCGGAGAGGCCCCGCCGCGGCCACGACCCACCGAGGTTTCCCCAGCCATTGTATGCCGAAGTTCTTCTATCGCTGGCACAAACATTAAGCTTTGGGTAGTCCGCGCGGGTTTCCCGGATCTGCGCTGGGACTCTGGCGCGCTCCACGCGCCAGGGAGGGGGCTTGGCGCAGGTCCAGGGAATCCGGTCGGACCGTCGAAAGCTCATGTTTTTGCCGTGGTTTCTTCCTCTCATCGAAAATGACGCTGTCCCGCTCTCTCTTAACTCCCCGTGGCCAGGAAGCACCAGATGGGCAACCGCGTGCTGGCAGGTGTGACGCTCAGCCACCGCTCCAGGAGTAGCTTCGCTTGGTCTGTATCGCTCTGCGAGGGAGGGAGGCGGAGGGGGCGCGCGAAGACCTGCCTCGCGGGCTCCCGAAGCTGGGTTGTCAGGCCCGCCCCCGCCCCCTCCCCGCCTGGATATTCCGGATCTTGTCGGATGCAAAGTTCCGAAAGGGGGGGGCGGTATTGGTTCGCGCGGTAATGGCGTTGGGTTGCCACCAGAGAAGAGGTTAGGTCATCGGCCAGACCCCCCCCCCTCACACCCACCAGATAACCCGGCCTTCGCTGAACGAGTAAAAATAGTCTCTTTAAAGTTTGTCAACAAATACTTGCTTCTGCTTGGGCGTGCCGGCCCATCCGCTGTCGCATGCTTTGAATGTGCTGGCTCATCCGCTATCGCACGCTTGGGCCAGCCGTGATCGCGCGCCGCCGCGCGCTCCGGTTCCAGCTTGCTGCGCCCCGTGCGCGACCCCCCAGGGCACCAATCTGTGGCAGCCAATGCGGTCGCCGTGATAGGCGCATCCAGTAGCAAATCATGGGAGTGTAGTATACACTCGCAATTCCGCCTTTAGAGTGTATTAGCGTGCGCTAGCGCCTGATAGTCCATGAGAACGCGCCGATTTAGCGTCGCTTAGCCTCGAATCGGAAGAGCCAGCAAGATGGCCATGGGAGGCTCCCATGAGCTACCGCAGAAGGCGCACCAAGCCCGTGGCAGGCAGCACAGAGTTCTGTGGCGGGCGCACCGAGCCCGTGGCAGTCGCCAGCGGCCGACGACCTCACACGAGGCGTACGCGGAATACCAGCGAGACTCCTCCTCCCTTCCATTTTCCCTCCTCCCTCCCTCTTTCCTCCTCCTCCTTCTCCTCCTCCTCCTCCGCCTCCTCCTCCTCCTCCTCCTCTTCCTCCTCCTCCTCCTCCTCCTCCTCCTCCTCCTCCTCCCTCTCCTCCCTCTCCTCCCTCTCCTCCCTGTCCTCCGTTTCCCTCCCCCATCCTCTACCTCCTCCCCCTCCTCTCTTTGCGAGCCTGCAGGACGTGGACTGGGCCTACTGGCCCCTCAACGTGGGGCCGAAGCCTGGCTGTGGGGAGGACGAGGCCTACGGGGTGCTGGACGCGAGGTGGAGGCCTAAGGCCTGGGGGGGTCGACTGTGGAGGGGTAGGCGGAGGACACTGAGATCCAGGCGTTGCATTTTGTTTCTCACATTGGGCGTTTTCGCTCGGTTTCGGGCCCAGCGACCATCACAGATCATCACAGATCGTTCTGGCCAGAACAATGCAGCAGAAATGTGGGGTCTAGGGCTCTGGTCATGATCTCTCGCGATGTTGCAATTGGTTCGCAAAGTCGGATCTCAGGCTTCATGCTTTTTGCTTTTCCCTTGGGGGCCCTCATCGCCACCGCTGGATCCGCCTCGAGATCCTGGTTCGAACAATCCCCGAAGAGGTCGGGCCGGCTCGACTTTCGGGGCAGGCAGGTCGAGCGAGTCAGAGGTCCCCGCCCTCGTCGTCGTCGTCGCCCCGCAAGAGAAGACAACTGCGACACGGCTTGAGGCTGGGATCGGAGGGCGCTCCGCGCGCGGCCCCGCTCTCGGCGGTCTGGTGGAGAGACAGCTGGCCGGGGCGCTCGGGGGCGGGAGCGGCAACGTTGCGGATGGGCGCGGCGAGGACGGGGCACGCGGCGCGCGGACGCTCAGGGGAGGGAAAGGTGCGGGTACCCCTGCCCGGCGGGAGTTCTTTTCTTCATTCCGCGGGGGCCCCCTCGTCGCGGCGACCCGTTTAAAGTTTGGACCCCTGGTGGCGCGTGGATTTCGCTCGGTATTCCGCGCGTGCCTTGCCACTCGAGCCCTTGAATTTGTCTGATTAGAGTTCAGCTAGGAGTACTCGAGTGCAGCAGGCACTAGCGAATATAAGCACGTATGTAATATTCGAGTGCACGTAATATTATGTAATATTAGAGGGCGCCTGGTTCTGGACTGTCCGCCCTGCCCAACGAATCGCTGCCTCGCCAGAGTGTCTTCCAGAGCGGGACTTCTCGTCTCCTCGACCTTGGGAGACGCCGCAGAGGACGTCCCAGGTTACAGTGGGCTTCTGTAATGAACGCGCACACGGTGAGAATAGCAACGTGCATGCACGGCGGGGCCTTGAGCCAGGAAGAGGCCGTCCGACACGATCGGGCAGAGCACTTTCAATCAACGAACATGGAAAGAAGCAGTGTTGAGGTACTGTTCGAATTAAACCGGCCGGCCGTCATTTTGTATAATTTGTATCACAAGTTTTAGGGGATATATTACTCTGAATTGTACCCCGGTTTCCCCCGCCCGCCTGCCCTCCAGGTGGTGTCGCCGTCCCCTCCTCCGCCGTCCTGCGTCGTCGTTCCCTCCTCTGCCTCCTGCTGCCGCTGCTCTCCCGGGTGAGGTCTCGGGCGGGTCGGGCATAGAAACGTAGATTTTTAGAGAATCCTTGCGCATGGAGCTAGAGCCGGCGACGATGGTTACGCCTCGCCCCTCGCATTGTCGACGCCGGCGTGTTGTTGTACATACTCATGCATGCGATCTGCAACCAATGTGCCGTCTAGGCACGGTTCACCTGACCTGGCCTGGTTCTGAAGTGCAACATCAGTGGGTTGAATCAGCTGCAGGTGGGCTATCAAGTCGTACCACAGTAGAGCACGCTATTCCAGCGCAAGTGCTAGCACAACTTTAGTACAACCACCTTAAAGTTTTTAACGCGTGACGTTTGCAATCTGGGCTTTCGCGCGTTTCCTCTGGTTGCGCCGGAGGGGGTGGAACCCCGCGCGCGAGCACCCCCGCGGCTGAGAGTTCATTCCTCTTCCGAAATTTGAGGCGGGGGTATGCCCCCGTGCTCGAACCCCTCGCCAAATATTTCTTTGTTTCTTCCGCGGGAACCTAGCCCCCTGGGTTCTTTTGCGCGACCCTGAAGTTCTTTCCTTCCGGATGGACCCCCATGGGTCCTACGTTTGAGTCGGTCATGTGATTTCGCGCGTCGACGAAGTTGCGTGCGAAATTTGTGCGCCACGCCTGTGCGGGAGTTCAAGTCTCTGGATAAACGAGCGCGGCGCCGAGGCGAGAGCGACAGTTCGGTTTTTCGCGCGGGATGTGCGCCCCGCCCCATTCCCGCCACGCTCTTGGCAACATGGACAACATGATGTCCATGCGGAGACGAGAACCATTGATTTTGTATGGTATTTTGACAGGATGGGGCCCCTGGGTCCGGGAGGAGGAGGATGAGGAGGAGGCAGGAAAGGAGTAGGAGGAGGGGGCAGGGAGGACGAGGAAGGCCCTAACGTCGCCGTGTGATCGCGGGGCGCACGAAACATATGTTGTAGTGTTTTTCGGAATGGAATGGGGTGGTGTGGGTGGGCCAGGGACTTGTTCTTAGTGGGTCGCTGATCCAGTCGGGGATGGGGTGTTTGCTGGTGAGCAGCAGTGTTAAATCCCTCCTTGAAGGAGAAGGGTGTGGAAGAGTAAGCTCGCTGGACCACCTACGCCCAGAGAGCTGCTGGGATGCCTGGACCTCCAGGGTTCTTGTGCTCTCTTCCAGTAGGGATGCTTCCAGCAGATGGCCTCCAGGAGTTTCTCATCGGCCCCGTCCGTAATTCATTCGGGCTCAAGCGATCGTGGCCCAGTGCGCCGATCAAGCCTTCTGCCTTTCCAAGGGATCTGGCAGAGTCAGCCTTCTGGTGTACAAATCGGCGGCGCGCCCGGGGGGGAAGGCAGAGGGGTGGGCCTTCTTCGGCGACTACAAATGGTAAGGTTACGCTGAGGTGTGGTGTGCGATCTGCGTCGGTGGGGCTTTGGGGGCAACACGTTGCCCTCGTCGAGCCTCCTCGGAGCGCAGTGGAGAACTCTGTCAATGTTCTCGCCTGCCCCCCCAGGGTGCGGGTTGCAAGCCCCGACATTCGAGAAGGCTCAGAAGGCCTCTAGCCTTCTGGGCCTCCTCCGACGACAACCAGAGGCTGCTCAGAGGGCTGGGGGGGCTCTTGCAGAAGCCTCCGACGACAAAGACGGCTCCCCCGACGACAAAGGCGGCCTCTCAGAGGGTCGGGGGACTCCTGCAGAAGCCTCCCGGGGGACTCCTGCAGAAGCCTCCTTCACCAAAGACGGCTCCACCGACGACAAAGGCGGCTTCTCATAGGGCCTTCTGGGAAGGCTCAGAAGGCCTGCGGCCGTCGCTCAGAAGGCCTGCGGCCGTCTGAGAGGCTGTCTGAGCCGCCTGAGACGGCAGAGGCGGCTTCTCAGATAGGGCCAGGGGGCTTCCATGCCGAAGCCTTGCCGCTCTACGGCAAGGTCCGCCCCCGCGCACCCCCGTCGGCGACGAAATCCGAGCCTTGCCCTCGTCGATCAATGCCTCTTGAGGAACAGAAGACAGAGCAAGCATAAACTTTCGGAGCTCCGCGCGTTTATCGGATTTGCGCTGGTGCCCCCTGGCGGCACCTCCGGCGCCGCCGCTGACGCGCTCCGCGCGCCAGGGAGGGCGGCCTAGCGCTGATCCAAGAAATCCTCGTGGACCTCTGAAAGTTCATATTTATGCTGTTGTTGTTCCTCTACCATTGCCGATCGACCATTCAGGCAACTCGATGGGCGGCGGGGTTAGGGTTCGGAGTTCGTCGAGCACGTGACGTCGCGTCGCCGATGCATCGACGATGCGGCTGGATGTGGATTCCGATTTTCTCCATGCCGACGGCGCCGATGCGTCGCCGACGTCGTCGATACATCGGCGATACATCGGCGATAGATACAGCGAGATCCTCCAACCCCGTCTGGAAGGCCCACCTGGGAGGCCTCCAACGACCTCCACGGGGGGCGCGGCGAGAGGGCGCGAAGGCATCCGCACCTCCCTTCGCTTCCCCGCCCCGGGCGCGCCGCCGATACATAGGGAGATGCTGGACCTCGTCACCCTCCTCTCCGCGGTCGGCCTGCAGGAGGAGCTCGCGGAGAGCCGCAAGGTCCTCTCGGCCGCGCACGCGGGAGCGGCTTTTCTGTCGGAGTCGGAGTGATCTTTTTTGGTGCGGGCCCACGGCGGCGTCGGGGTTCCTGGACGGTGCGGTCAGACGTTTTCGTCGCTTCTTGGCGGCTTTCCTGCCTCGGGATGCGTTCCAGCAGCTGCGCCTCGCCGAGAGCGTTCCTGGGGTGCCCAGATCGTCCCGAACGGCCGCCGGAGGCCCGAGTTACAACCCGAAGCCTTCAGGCGCCGCAGGTTTCGGGGGCCCTCAAAGCGTGCGGTGATCACACCGCGTGGTGGGTCAGTGGGGATCGGCTGGTTCTCCGAGGACGTCCAGTGGGGATTCGGGGTCACCACGCGTTTCTGGGGCTCGGATGGTTCTCCGAGGACGTCTCGAGCCACGGAGGCCTCCGAGTTCCCAAAACCTTGCGGTGACGGACCGCGCGGTAAAGTCGCTGGGGGTTCCGAGGTCACCATGCGGCCCGTCACCACACGGTTCTGGGGCCCCGAACACAGGGGCCCCCTCAGGGCTGGCTTGCGCGCCCCCTGCCGCGCAAGCCAGTCCTGAGGGCCGCGCACCCAAGGTCACTCCTGCCTGGGGTCGCTCCTGGGTGCAGCCGCAAGGCGAGCCCCGTGATCACCGCCGCCGAGAGCAGCACGACGAGCTTCGTCGAGGACGCCGCGGAGCAGATCTCCCTCGCCCTCGAGTCGTTCGAGGGCGCGCTCTCCTCCGCCCTCGGCGCCGCGACGGGGTCCAGCTCGTCGGAGCCAGCGCCAGGGCCCGCGCCCTGCAAGACGGTGTGACACGGGGCCCGCGCCCCGCAGAGCTCAGCCGGCTGCGCGCCGCCGCAGATCGCCCGAGCCGCCCGCCCGCGGGGGCGCGGCCCGGCAGCGCCTCCAAACGCACGCAGTTCGATGCCACTCGTCCGTTGGCGGGCGAAGAGCGGCATGAGGTTCGAGGCTTTTCGGGCGGCTTCGTTGGTTTTCCGCGGTTTTCCGGCCTCGGGATGCTCTCCAGCAGTTGCGCCTCGCCGAGAGCGTTCTATGGGTGTCCAGAACGTTTCGAGCGGGCGCTGGAGGCCACAGTTATGGCCCGAGAACCACCGGAACACGAGAGAGCGGTTGGTCTCTTAGGTCACCCGCAGAGGTGCGAACATGATCGCGCTTCGCGCGTCGCGGCCTGGGCCAGGGCGGCTGCCCATATCTTCGGTAGCAAATCATGGGAGCCCCGTGTACCCTTGCAGTTCCGCCTTTACAGTGCATTAGCGCCGGCCAGGGCCTGGTGTTCGACGAGATAGCGCCGATTTAGCATTGAGTATTGTTGACTAGCGTCCGTTTAGCGTCTATCAGCGTCGGTCAGCGCTGGTTCGCAAGAGCCAACAAGATGGCATTGGAGGTTCCAACGAGCTGCCACAGAGCGCCTCCAAGGTGGAGAGGAGCGCGGGGCGCGACGGCGCGCGAAGGGGCGAAGCGCGCGAAGGTGGGTGGCCTGGCTGCGCTGTTCGGCCATCGGGGGGCGCCCGTCCCCAAGCCTCCCAAGTGCAGTCCGAGCAGATGGGGCCGGGGTTGGAGTCGGCTGCTGTGAGGACTAGGTTTCTTGTGCGACTCGCAGCCCAGGGACGGTTGGGTGTAAGATAGTTATAGCGAGGTGTAATTGTTGCAGATGTCCTACGTGTTGATAAGTTTGCTTAAGTATTGCTCGTGCGGTGCAAGTCTACTTGCGATACGTTTTAACTAGTTTCCGTAGTTAACCGTGCGGGGTAAATTTACATAACAGTATCGGTGAGTATTTCATTCGACCTTAGGTAGCGTTACTTAACACTATTGACGAGTAGTTTGTAAGCAGGTTGCGTAAGGGTAGGCTGGGTGCGTCTATAACCCGTTAGGCCGCACGATGCAGTTCGCCAGGTCCCGATTTCCTTCCAAACCAATCTCCCTGACCTGATCCCACTCAGCCCCGAGTCCCTGCGCTCCCCATCCGCCTCCTCATTTCGGGTGTAGCCCAGATCTGTTGTTTTTGATGTGCGCTTACTGACTGGTCACACCCGTCAGCAAATCGTTTTATTCCCAACCATCCTGTGGTGTTGGGTCTTCGTTTTGAAGAGACAGTGCCCCGCGTTCCTTCCTTCCTTCCTTCCTCCTCCCCCTCCTCCCTCCTGCCTCCTCCCCTGCCTCTGCCCTGCGCATGTCCTCGTCGTCGTCGTCATCATCATCAGCATCAGCATCAGCATCAGCATCATCATCATCGCCATGTCCTCGTCATCATCATCGACGTCATGATCACCACCCTTATCGTCACCATCATCGCCACCAATTTCGCCACACCCCTTACACGTTTCGTGGCCCCACAGGGAGCCCCATCGAAGGCCTCAATGGCGGTGTTCGCATGCGTCTCCCCCGCCCAGCACAGGGTTTCGCGGCACCATATGGAGTGCCATTTAAGGCCCTAGTGGCGGTGTTCGCATGCGTCTCCCCCGCCCAGTACGGCGTTTCGTGGCCCCATAGGGAGCCCCTCCTAGGGCCCCAGTGGCGGTGTTCGCATGCGTCTCCCCCACCCAGCACAGCGCTTCGTAGCCTCATAGGGGATTCCAGCTAAGGCCCCAGTGGCGGTGTTCGCATGCGTCTCCCCCACCGAGTACAGCGTGGTGTTGGGTCCTCGTTTTGAAGAGACAGCGCCCCGCGTTCCTTCCTTCCGTCCTTCCTTCCTCCCCCTCCTCCCTCTTCCCACCCCTGCCTCTGCCCTGCGCATGTCCTCGTCGTCATCCTCATCAGCATCAGCATCGTCGTCGCCATGCCATCATCATCATCATCATCATCATCATCATCATCATCATCATCATCATCATCATCATCATCATCAGTATCATTATCATTATCATCATCATCGTCATCGTCATCGTCATCGTCATCATCATCAGCATCAGCATCATCATCATCATCATCATCATCATCATCATGACCAGCATCATCATCAGCATCAACATCATCATCAGCATCAGCATCATCATCATCAGCAGCATCATCATCATCATCATCAGCAGCAGCATTATCATTGACGTCATGAACACCACCGTTGTCGTCACCATCATCGCCACCAATTCCGCCACACCCCTTACATGTTTCGTGGCCCCACAGGGAGCCCCATCGAAAGTCTTAGTGGCGGTGTTCGCATACGTCTCCCCCATCCAGCACAGGGTTTCGCGGCACCATATGGAGTGCCACCTAAGGCCCTAGTGGCGGTGTTCGCATACGTCTCCCCCGCCCAGTACGGCGTTTCGTGGCCCCATAGGGAGCCCCACCTAAGACCCCAGTGGCGGTGTTCGCATGCGTCTCCCCCACCCAGCACAGCGCTTCGTGGCCTCGTAGGGGGTTCCAGCTAAGGCCCCAGTGGCGGTGTTCGCATGCGTCTCCCCCACCCAGTACAGCGTGGTGTTGGGTCCTCGTTTTGAAGAGACAGCGCCCCGCGTTCCTTCCTTCCGTCCTTCCTTCCTCCCCTCATCCCTCCTCCCACCCCTGCTTCTGCCCTGCGCATGTCCTCGTCGTCATCATCATCAGCATCAGCTTCGTCGTCGCCATGCCATCATCATCATCATCATCATCATCATCATCATCATCATCATCATCATCATCATCATGATCATCATCATCATCATCATCATCATCATCATCATCATCATCAGCATCAGCATCAGCATCAGCATCAGCATCATCATCATCAGCAGCAGCAGCAGCAGTATCATTGACGTCATGAACACCACCGTTGTCGTCACCATCATCGCCACCAATTCTGCCACACCCCTTACATGTTTCGTGGCCCCACAGGGAGCCCCATCGAAGGCCTTAGTGGCGGTGTTCGCATGCGTCTTCCCCGCCCAGCACAGCGTCTCGCTGGCCTCATAGGGAGCCCCACCTAAGGCCCTAGTGGCGGTGTTCGCATGCGTCTCCCCCACTACGTCGTTTCGTTGCCCCATAGGGAGCCCCACCCAAGACTCCAGTGGCGGTGTTCGCATGCGTCTCCCCCACCCTGTACAGCGTTTCCTGGCTCCCTGCGGAGATCCACCTAAGGCCCAAGTGGCGGCGTTCGTATGCGTCGGTCCGACCCACCACAGCGTTTCGCTGGCTCCTTAGGGAACTCCACCTAAGGCCGCAGTGGCGGTGTTCGCATGCGTCTCCCCAACCCAGTACAGCGTTTCGTGGCCCCACAGGGCGTCCGCGGCAGGGTCGCTCCTATCGCAATGGACAATGGACCTGCTTCTCTGGGAGCGCCCCGTTTGGGTGGTGTTGGGTCCTCGCTTTGAAGAGACAGCGTCCCGTGTTCTTTCCTCTCCTCCTCCTCCCCATCCTCCCTCCTCCTCCTCCTCCAAGCCTCTGCCTTCCGCATGTCGTCATCGTCATCATCATCGTCATCATCGTCATCATGATCAGCAGCGTCATCAGCATCATCAGCATCATCAGCATCAGCATCATCAGCATCGGCATCATCATCATCATCATCAGCATCATCATCATCATCAGCATCATCATCATCATCGACACCATCATCGTCATCAGCTGCCCTTTACACGCATCTTGGCCGTATAGGGATCTCCACCGAAGGCCCCAATGGTGCAGCCCGCATGTGTCACGCACACCCATTTCGGCACACCCCTCACACGCATCGTGGCCCCATAGGGAGCTCCACCGAAAGTTCCAGTGCCACCGCCCACATGCGTCACGCACACCCATGTCGGCACACCCCTCACACGCATCGTGGCCCCATAAGGAGCTCCATCGAAGGCCTTAATGTCACCGCCCGCATGCGTCACGCACACCCATGTCGGCACACCCGTCACACGTTTCGTGGCCCCATATGGACTTCCACCGAAGGTTCCAGTGAACCCCGCCCGCGTGCGGCACGCACAAAAATGTCGGCACGCCCCTCACACGTGTCGTGGCCCCATACGGAGCTCCGCCAAAGGCCCCAGTGGCGCAGCCCGCATGCGTCACGCACACTATTTCGGCACACCCCTCACACGCTTGGTGGCCACATAGGGCGCAGCCCGTTTCGTGCCCCCATAAGGAGGCAGCCCATTTCGGCACACCCCTTACACGCTTCGTGGCTCCACCGAAAGCCTCACTGGAGCAGTCCGCATTCGTCGCCCACACCCACTTCGGCATTTCCCGCGGCCGGCTCCGACGTGCACATCGACTACGCCCCCGCGCGAAATGACGTCGGGGCAGCGGGTGCTGGCGCGGTGCTGGCCAAGGCGGCGCAGGCGCGGTGGGAGCCGTCGGAGGAGTTGCAGCGGCCCAGCGACTTCGTCAAGCTCCTCGTCAAAAAGTTCGAGGACGGCGGGGTCAACCCGAGGACGGGGGAGCGGGAGCGCCGCCTTTGAAGCCCGACCAGGCCTTGCTCGTCACGGCGTTCGCGAACGGCTGCAATGTGGTGTGGGGCGAGGAGCAGTAGATCGAGGGCGGCAGCATGGCCAAGCGCGCGAAGCGGAAGACGTTCCAGCTGCTGCTGCTGGGCCAGGGTGGCAGCGGTAAGACCGCCATGGTGCAGGAGATTGTGCTGCCAGCCATGGACGCGCTGTTCCCTGTGGAACCGGGCACAGCGAACTCGTCCACGCTGATAGTCTGCGCGAAGTGGTCCCAGGCCGCGAACATCTCCACGGACGCTCACAAGGCCGTCAGTTGCCACCAGGCGGGGGTCATAGGAGCGCAGTCCTTCAGGAACAAGGACATACCCGCGGGTGGCAAGCTGAGAGCGCCGCAGGACACGTGGGAGGTGGTCAGGTGCTTGATCCTGGAAGATGCGAGCATGA